TTAAAGATGTTGCTACATGCAGTGTGAGATGAAACCTGACCCTTATATGTGTTGTTTATTTTTTGTAAATCCCTGTGAAAAATGAATAAGGAGGCTCTTTGTACCATACTCAGGAAAAGTGGTTTATAAAGACATGGAATTAGACTGTGTATTTTCTTTCTCTGTTAAAAAATGGCTGGCTCTGAGTGGATAATGACTTCTTGAGCAGCTGTAGAGTTTGGAGCTATGTGAAAGGTTGGCTGCGAGGGCATTGGGAGCTGCCTGGATGATTTGTTGAGTTTTATTACTAAATCAGCTAGAGAAGGACAGAATTACTAGAAGTTAAAAGAGAATGATTCTGAGGAATTCAAATGAAAGTCAAATTTGGCAATCAGGCCTGAATCTGTTAAAATATTGGAATTTCAAGTTGTATTTAAAGTTGTAGATGTCAGTGCTTGTTCTCTGGACTGAAAATACTACAGCATGGTTTTTTAGTTGGATAAACAATGCTAAAGCTGTTCCAATACCAGTGCAAATGCTTGGAGCTCATGGACTAAGACCTGTGTCATGTGACTTTTTTGCAAGGTCAAATTGTAGACAAGGTTGAGAAAGTTTCACTGTTTGGAAACGTCCCATAATCCCCAGTAGGTTCCAAAGCCTTCTTGAAAGAGAATACAGGGACCCTCACCCTCTTTCCTGAGCAGAACCCACTGGGACCTCAGAGGGCTGAGCTGGAACAATATAGCTTCTTCAAAAGAATGATAGCCCTCAGTCTAGCAGTTACTGTTTAATTTGTAACAAGTGATATGTAAGTATTTTCCCTATAGAAAAATAAACTTTTCAGATAGCAAAGTCTCCTTTCACCCACATTTAAAATCATAAGCAAGTCCCCAATCCCCTCCACTGTATTCCTAAGTAAAATTTTTACTCTGCATGGAAATGCACCCATAGGAAAGATGCAGAGCCACTGTGAGTATAGGGGTGTGTGGTTCTACTATACGACAGCATTCTACCCAGAATGCTTTATGATTTGCCTTGCCTGGTGTAAAATGAATTGGGGAAAAGTCTGTGTGAAATACGTACACACTTAAGTCACATTCTAAGCTACTGTATATAACCTATAATATGGATGTATCTATGTTTGTGTATCCATCTCCCCATATACAGTTCCTAAGATTCTGCTTGTAAACAGTGCTGTATCTATTTCTTCCTAGCACTGATTTTTAAAATTCCTTATGATTAGATAACCTTCTTGAAATGCTGGGGACCTGTGAAATGAAACGGCTAATTTTATGCAGTGGATGACACTATCCCCCAAAATTGCTCAAGCAAGGCCTTTGTTTAATTCTAATTTGTCTTGTGATCTAGCAAAAATATACCTCTTTGGAGCTTTTGAAACCTTGAGCTTTTAGGGTGAGTTTTCTTTATTCTTTCACTTCCTTCACAATAATCTTAGTTCAGTTGTGCAGTTCAAGCTGACAGGAAGAATGCTCTTGCATAGACAAAATCCATGCCCCTCCCTCCTGTGACCTGTCAGAGCTTTGTGCAGGATAGAGTAGGGTCAGACTTCCTTTGGGATGATAGAGTTATATGTCTTTTCTTTTTAGATGTCCTTACAACCAGTTATTTGTGATCCCATATCCTGGAAACATTCCTCAAGAGTAATAAGAGCTAAAGTCTCATTCACAGCTGAGCGATTCATCTGTAAGTTCTCATTCACAGCCCAGGAAGGAGTCAGAATGACAAGGTGGTGTTTTTTTTTTTTTTTTTTTTTTTTTTTTTTTTTTGGGTAGGATTACTTTTGTGGCAAGGTAAGATTGCCCTGATACTTGGTCCGAGGAAACAAAAAGTGTGTATTCATTTATTTATTTTTTTTAGGTCTTAATGAAAGATCAGGCACAGAATGTGTATGGGGTGACTTCAGCTGGAATCAGAAAAATGCAAAACTACTTTTCAGATAGTGTCGATCTTGCAAAGGGAACCCTTTGTGCCATTCGGCTAGCTGCCCTTGGAGTAACAGACAGGCTTTGTTTTGGAACAGAGGATACGTATGAAAGGTTTCTTGCCTCTGTGGCCAACAAGTTTTCAGAATAACTGCTCGCATCACATCATTTTTAACGTTCCTGAGAAGCATGCTAATTTTGTTGAACTTTCCAACGGTAGTAACCCAGGCAGATTATGGACATTGTAGATAAGCGCTAGTGGCTGATTTCTTTTTTCATGGCCAAAACACATCTCAAATATGCTTTCACATTCACCTCTTCCTCAATGAATTTTGCTGCCTTCTATGAGAAGTAATGTATTTAGAAAGAGGTAAATATTCACGCACGAACGGAAGGGTGCCTTGGGAATTGTAAGGTGTGCCGAGAAATTCCACACCTCTTACTCACGCTATTTGGCCATGGTGGGGCTGTAAGCTGAGGTCTCATTAGCTGCACCCAGGTACTGAAAGTCAACCAGAGCTTGATTTTTTCCTCTTCTAATTCTGTGAAGAAGGTGTCTTTCTCGGCTGCATTTGTCGCAGCAGGGCTAAGAGGCTACATCTGTGTTAAAAAAGCTGTTTCTTTTATTTTGTTTGTTCCATATGTGAGTTGACATCCTTGCTTGTCCTGTCCTCAGATGTCAGTGCTTATATCCATGTGTTTTTCGAACTCTCTATTCCACAAACCTGCTTGATCATCGCAGTCACCTGAAATACTCCGAATATTATAGTCAGACAAGTTTTAAAAGCTTGTATAAGGTCCTGACCTGATCCAGTGGAACTGTCTGTTAGGGTTGACTTGTGGAGGCCTCTCAAGGTCCGGAGGTCCAAAGGGGCACCCTGCACTTGGCATCCTGCCTCGCTCTGGGCAGCAAAACAGCTAAAACCACAAACAAGTCAGGAGGCAAGCGTTCCCCTTGTAGGGATCAGGAGAAGCTCCGTAAGTGCTGTGAGGTATAATACTATTTATTCCTTGTTTCAACGACGATAGAATGCCTACCCTGTACCAAACATTTGGGCCAGGTGCTGTGAAGGTGGCAACTAACCTAATGAAGTGCGTATCAAGGGATGGATATCAAGCTCACTGCTTCACATAACTTTTCTCGCTTAAACTGCACCACTGTCCTGAGAGGTAGGTATTATAAGTTCATTTAAAAATGAAGAGACAGTAGTTTCCAAAGCTCATTTGACTTGGCCAAGGTCATGGATCTAGTAACAGGGAAATGCAGGATTCAGACCAAGTCTACCAGACTCATGCTCCTTCCTGTCGATCTTCTGCTTTACCACAGTGTGGACGTCTCCTCACTTTACCCACTTTTGCTTCAAACACAAGGTCTCGGGTCTGGCTGTGTAATAGAATCAGCCAGAGAGCTTTTAAAATGTATTCTTGCTTGAGCTTCAGATTTAAAAAAGAGCGTTTGATGGGGCCCAGGTGTGAGCATTTTAAAACATTGCCGTGCACCTTGTGCTGCCAGCTTAAGTTTCCAGCCTCTTTCTTGGGCCAAGGAGCTGATTACATTTTTTAAGGACTCCGGATCATTTTCCCACCTTTTATACAAACTGGAATTTATCAAAATATACTGCACACTTTCATCATGCAGAGGAGACATGGGCGTTATAAAAGACCCATTTAGCTAGGAATTTAAAAACCTAGAGATCTAATTTCATGGAATGTGTTGTTCACAGTGAACGTGAGGGATCACTCGAGGGCTAGAGAATCCCCGAGCTTCTGGCTCTCCGCTGCTGAGACTCTGACATCCCGAAGACACCTTCTTCTAATCTGATGGGGGGGAAAACCTTGGGGCATATGGTGGTTCTTGAAAGCTTCCCTTCTCTTTGGTGAACAGAGACTGCATATTGACTTTCTTCCCTAAATCTAAATAAAAGTAAAATAAAAGCTAAGTTTGGATCTTTTTAACTTCGATGTATTAATATATGTAAGCTAAAGTTTATTTGGAATGCTGTAAGCAAAAAATACTTTAAAAAATGAAACAAGTGATACCTGAATTCCTTCAAGCTATTTGGAAAACTTAACTGCTCAAACAAGTATGTGTACTTCTATAAGTTTCTAAGTTAAGAATTCTGCATTTCAGGCTTTCAACACTTGGTCAAACATCTATCATATGGTCAGTAATATTGTGCCTTTGTGAAGTTGCAGTCTAATTAAGTTTTGACTCTGCTAATTGAGTTTGATTTTGCCTTGTCTTCAACCAGCAAGTTGTGACTGTTCTCTAAAAGGTTCTTCACTAAGTATCCATATCGAATATTGAGAATAAATGGTTAATGGGAAGTAGTTACATAGCTGTGGTTCATAAAATTCTTAGAAGGGGAAAATAAATTTAAGGGTCACTGTACTTCAACAAGCTCGAGGGACTTCTATGGAAGGAAAAATCAAGGTTATTAAGGGAGGGAGGATTTGAACTCATGAGCCATTAGATGGAGAGAGAAAAAGCAGTGATTGCCAACCCACAATTCTAAGTCACTTAAGCTGAGCCTGACCTCTGTTTTGATAAGATAGCTTGATTGTGTCTTTCCGCTGTGGTCAAGAGTCATGTTATGGCAATTGCTAGAACAGACCATTAAAAAAATGTAAACAAGCAAAAGAAAGAGAAAAAAACAAACATGAAAAATGGCCTCCTTTTTTACATTTCCACATAGGTGATCTCCATACCAGGAGATGAACTTGAACTTGGTTGGGCGGGAGACGGACCTGGTTGGGCGGGAGACTGGAGCCCCTCAGAGAATTTGGGATTCTTCCATTTTTACTGGGAGGGTTGGCAGGTATAACATGTGTTGTTATGTGAGTCCACAAGAGCCTCTAGGCCCCAGCTCCCTGCCCTCCGTGTGGTGGGGTCAGTCGCTCACTCTGAGGCACTCGACTGGTTTCTGTCTGTGGCTTACCCATGAGCAGTGGCTTGGAAGTGTCAAAGCATGAGAAGCATGCAGTCAACAGCATGTGCTGCCGTCCCCTCCACATGGCTCTGCATGGACGCACCCGGGCGGTCGCCTTCGAGCTCAGCGTTTCCTTCTTCTCCTACAGAACTCCCTGAAGGCTTCCAATCGGAAGAAGAAGAGAACAAGTTTTAAAAGAAAGGCCAGTAAAAGAGGAACCGAAGTAAGTGGCTCCCAGTTATGACCCTCGGAAGTATAGCTTTCTTCCTATCGCTGAAAATGTCTTAGCTTTGTATTTCTAACACCTTTTGCTCCCTTTCTCCTTCCCTGCACTCTAACTATCGTGGAATATTCTCTGTCCTGCATAAATGCATAAACAAACAGACAGACATACCTTCTGCCCCTTCAGAGTCAGAGCATATGCATTTGCCTGGAAATGTCCTCAGATAGATGCTGAGGAGGGAGAGGAGGAAGGTAAATACAAGACAGTGAACATTTCCAGGGTTCTTAGAGCAACCAGAGGAAAATCAAAAGCCTGGTTGAATTCTGTGTATCAAATGACATTTGAGATACTTTTTCCAGCCCAGCTGTGGATGACCATGCAGAGGGTAGGCCTTGTCAAACAAGGTGGAAGGCTGTTGGGGTGGTGGCGATGGTGGTGGTTCTCAGCTCTCGCTTTGGGGTTGCTTTCGCCCTGTGAATGTGTGTCCTCACAGCACTGCTTGCTTCTCCCAGCAGGAAAACAAAGGCCGTCCTTTTGTGATAAAGCCCATCTCTTCGCCTCTCATGAAACCCTTGCTTGTATTTGTGAACCCCAAGAGCGGAGGCAACCAGGTGAGTCATTTCTCAAGAGTTCCACTCACAACATTTGATGATTTCTTAAAACCACAATTCACAGCAGCAATGAAAACAGCATTACTAGGACCTCCACCAGCGGCAGATAGCTGGTTTCTCAGGAGAAGGTTAACATTGCTCCACTGGGGTTCAGTGATTCCCCTCTCTACTTCTGTAAATGACTACCGCAAGACCCTCCAGAAACTTCACCACTGACATTTTCCTTGCAGATACCGGAGAAAGATTATTCCAGAATTTCTCTTAGTTGCTAGGTTTCATGGGTTCCCACTTCTTACAGTTACAAAGCTGTCTCCAAACTTATCTTTACTTCTTTTTATTGTAATTTAGTCCCTGCCCTCCGATAAAAGGGAGAGAACACTAAATACTACCAAGGCTGTAGAAATTATCTGCTTCTAAATATTTCATTTGGCCCCTGTGCAATCCTTTAGTGCAGTTAATATGTGTCTTGTTTGAAGAATAAACAGATAACGTTACAAAAGATAACATTAACAACAGTGTTTGAAGAACAGAGATTGTTCCAAATCCAGGTCTTACTCTCTGCATCCAATTTTCTTTCTTCTCTGAGGTTTCTTATCAGTGCTTCTGAGGCATTGGCTTTCTGTTATTTTTATGAGAATTGAGATGTAATATATGCATATATATTCATATCATTTGTCTATTAAGTGTACAGTTTACATTTTGAGACAAGATTCTTTGAAGTTGCACAATAAAAGATGATTTGAAACTCTTAGTTACTCCATAAAGGGAGGCAGAGTGAAGATTGACTCAATAGCCAAAATGATATTATTATTAAAGATAATGGACATTTTCCAGAATGTATTAATTACAATGAAGCTTCTCTTAAAAGAGCTTATGGTTTTAAGGAAATATTCCCATTTCTTCTTTTTCTTCAAAATTGATAACTTGCTGTATTAAAAATAAATATCAGTATTTTTTTTTTTTTTTTGTGGTTTTTCTCCGGTACCGGGAACTGAACTCATGACCTTGCGCTTGCCAGGCAGGCACTTTTGCCGCTGAGCTAAATCCCCAGCCCCCTAAATATCAGTATTGTAGAGAGTAGGAAAAGATATGTGCTGCACACCAAGAAACTATTTTCAATATCCTGCAATTTCCAGTTGCTACATAATGTTCTTCGTTATTGTAATGATGGTGGTTCTGCACTCAGAATTTTTTTTTTTTTTTGATATGTGTGTGGGTACCAGGAATCAAACTCATGACCTTGGCCTTGCCAGGCAAGCACAGTCCTGCTAGGGTATATCCCTGGCCTGATGGGGTATAGCCCAGGAAAGGTTTCTTTTTTTTTTTTTTTGGTTTTTGGTTTTTCTCCGGTACCGGGAACCAAACTCACGACCTTGCGCTTGTCAGGCAGGCCCTTTGCCGCTGAGCTAAATCCCCAGCCCCTCAGGAAAGGTTTCTTAGCAGTGAGGTTCAATTCCCCATAAACCATACCCACTCCTGGGCATTCTCCTCCTGGCCTATCAAAAGTTAGGGATATGTTTGTAAACCATAGAAGTGAGCAACGTGAATGTAATTGACTCTGATTTTGGCTACTTGAGCTTCACACAATAATTACTGTCAACTATACTTTATCATGGAGTACAAATGCACTTATTAAATCATTCTAAGGATTTTTCTTAAAGCACACAGAAGCGTGTAAGTTATCCTTGCCTTTAGGGACTTGGCAATCCAGTTAAGATCTAGCTGTCTCCTATTCCAATCTCTGTAAATTATTAATGGCAGGGACTTCGGAGACATCTAATGCTGCTTTCATTTCACTAAACAGAAGACAGGTCAAGGAAACTTAAGTGAATTTTGTAAGAAAATTGTGTTTGTCAGTGCCAGAAAAGGCAAATGGAAAAACATAATTCAGATGAGGTGCACTGTGTGTGAGTTCTAAATTGGGTGAATCAGACTAGAAATGCTGAGCAGATTCAGAGGAGAGCTGTGACTTTGAGTGACAAGGAAATTGTGAGGTGGAAGGGTCCAAAAATAAGAAGGACATTACTATCTCTCCATGGAGGACAGAAGACTGAACCCTAACCCTAACCCTAACCCTAACCCTAACCCTAACCCTAACCCTAACCCTAACCCTAACCCTAACCCTAATGGTAACCCCTTTACCCTAACCCTAACCCTAACCTTCATCCTAGCTCTAGCCCAAATCTTGAACCCCTCTCCTTCTTTCTAGAGTGGTGAACGTCTGCTCATCCTTCTCAGTCACTAGTGCCTTTCTGGACCATTACTAACAATGAATCACCCTCATCCCTATCCTCCGCTAGTCCCTGGGACTCACCTGTACTATGTGAATTGTAACAAAATGCTCTCTGTGTCTGTACTGTTAAAAGATAAGCTTCATAATACCAGGGACTAGAAAACTTTGATTTCTAGTACATGGCACAAAGGAAGCAAATAACTGAACAGCAGTCAGTGTAAATAGGACAGCAAAGTGAAAGCTCATTTCAAAGGTGATGTGGCGAGTAGAGCCTGCCTGTTAAAGTTGGTAGTAAGACTAAGTGAAGATCAGTATCAGCCTCTAGAGAAGTGTCTTAAAAACTTGCCAGAGGATGCTGGATTTATGCAATGGAATTTAGGTTTTGTTGCTTTAAATGGTCTACATTTTATATTTTTTTGGGTTTTGAACAAAGTAACATGATTAAATTTAATGTGCAAAAGTCGTTTTTACAAATCTTGTTAAAGTGGAGATTCTGCCTCAGTAATCCAGGCTGCCCTTAAGTCTCCTGCTTAGAATCTCCACCCTCTGCTTCCCTTCCCTTCCCTTCCCTTCCCTTCCCTTCCCCTCCTTTCCCCTCCTTCCCTTCTCTTGCCTTCATTTCCTTTCCTCTTCCTCTCTTCCTCCTCTTCCGTTTCCTCCTCCCACTCTTCTTGTTTCTCCTCTTCTTCTTCCTTTTCTTCCTCTTCCCTCCCCCTTCTGTTTCCCCCTCTTCTTCTCCTTCTTGTGGTATTAGGGATTGAACCCAGGGCCTTCGCATTCCACTACTACATCCCTACTCCTATTCTTGTTGTTCTTGTTCTTGTTCTTGTTCTTCTTGTTCTTCTTGTTCTTGTTCTTGTTCTTCTTTCTTGTTCTTGTTCTTCTTCTTGTTCTTCTTCTTCTTCTTCTATTTCTTCTCATTCTCGTTCTCATTCTTGTTCTCATTCTTGTTCTCATTCTCGTTCTCCATCTCCATCTCCTCCTCCTCCTCCTCCTTCTATTTCTTCTCATTCTCATTCTTGTTCTCATTCTCCTTCTCTGTCTCCATCTCCTCCTCCTCCTCCTCCTGCTGCTCCTCCTCCTCCTTCTTCTCCTCCTTCTCCTCCTCCTCCTTCTTCTTTTTCTTCTCATTCTCGTTCTCGTTCTCCTTCTCATTCTCCGTCTCTGTCTCCATGTCCTGCTCCTCCTCCTCGTCCTGCTCCTCCTCCTCCTCCTCCTTGTAGTTATTATCTGAGATGGGGTCTCCTAGAGTTTCTAGGTTGCGCAGGCTGCTGTGTGTCACTGTTACGTGGATGGACTCAGCAAGTGTAATGCCGGCTCTTGTGTATGACAAGCAGTGACCTGCAAGCACGCTCCATAGCAAATGGAAAGCAGCTGTATTTGTTGATGGTCACAGGAAGTTGTGCTCAGAGCCCGTCTGTGCCGACAGAAATTCAACATGCACGGAAAAGTGGTATTGGGTGACGGGATGGCAAAAGCCCTGCACAGAGGTCACAGCACACAGCAGCAGCCTCCGGATAATCAGGCTTTGGAGTTTAAAGGGCATGTGCCTCCCCTGAGTCTTCAGGTGTGCTTGACAGGAGTGATGGACAGGGCGCTGAGTCATCTGAGGGGCTCTCAATGCGCATGCCTGTCCCAGAATTCCCTCTGATCTAATGACATGGGTGAGATGTAATGGCTGCTCATAGACCCTTAATAGGTTTGGAGTAGGGTGCTGGTGGCTGAAGGTCAGGCTGAGAGATGCACCTCCAGCCTAGAGAGTCAGAGATTACTTGGAGTTTGGTCTGTGATTCTCTAACTCTCCTAGGACGATGGAAGGAGCTGTGGCCCTGGGATGCTGTTTAAACTTAGTGGTTGGAAGGGAGTGGCTTTCTGAGTGCCACTATTTTAACCACCACACTAGAATCTTGTATTTCTAAAGGCTCCCAGGTACTCTTACTGCTTTAGGAGACAGACCATTTTCTAACTGTCAAGGTCTTCCTATAATAATAGAGAATAGAAAAAAAAGTTATTTTTGCTTATATCCTGGTTTTGTCTTTTCATAATTTGCTTATTCTGCTCATTTGCTTCCAGACATAAAGCAGCTGCATTTAGTCCCCTCTCTGAAACGCAGGCTCCCAACTTTTTCTTTTCTGTTTTACAAATTCTTCTTAAAAAACTTGTCTTTTAGTCTTCTGCAAATTAACTAATAGGCAATGTCGCCATCTACTGGCAAGAAAAATGCCTGTAGCTAAGTTCTCAGCATTCCAAAGGAATATATTGAAACAAACTATTTCTGTGTTCTTTAAAAGAATGTGTTCTTCATAGTCCTTTCTTTAAGCTTTCCGGTATTCCCAGTAATTGTCCCTTTTTCTTGTGCTGTCAAGATAGAGGGTAGAAGTGACACTGGTGTTTTGTGGAGGTTGAGCCAGTGGGGGTGCTGCCGTCACTGTTGAGATCTGATTCATGTGAGGAAATGAACAGTGGGATCAGGGACTGAAATATCAGCTTTGAATGACCCCTGTGGAGAAGAGGTCATATGACAGGTTAATATTATTACTTATTTATTGCAGACTGATCAAGCCTGTAATCTCCAAATGAGTGGATAGCAAAGGTTGAAATAAAAGAAACAAGTGGTTTGATTTTAGGGCTCCAGGAGGTTCAAAACCCTCTAAAAGAAATTGAGATTCTCTGGGGGCTGAGACAAAGAACTTATTTATTTAATTACCAAACAAAGGAGGGGAATACTAAGAAAACACAGGCATCTGGGCAGAACCAGGGGAGTCCC